GAAGATTTCTTTGAGCATCCGATGATGAACGGAACTGCGCGAACTGTTTGAGGCCTCAAGGGCAAGGTTCGGCTTAGCATAAATTAACGACCCTCGGCATTATCTATTGTCAACAAGGCAGCCACCGTTCTGATAGACCCCGTTCGATCCGAAACTGCACACAGTCACACAGATACTGGCCAAGTGGCCTGAGCCATTTACATAATGTGTGGCCAGCACCACGAGTCGGCTGCCAGTTGCGATTTATTGGCCAAAAGAGCAGCGCCTAACGGACACTGCCAACTCCCAGAGCTTGCACTTAATTATGCTCGTTAAATTTTATAACTTATTCACTTGGACCTGGAGATGGTGTCGGTTATCTAATTTATGCGCGTTGCTTTGATGGCTCACACTTGGATAAATCACAATTTAATAACAGCACTCTTAATAACGGCGGGCCAAGGGACTCGTTGGGGAAATTAACAATCAATAAGCGTGTGATGTAGTGTAAGAGATTTTAAATAATATATGAAGTAATACGGAATGACTTTAGATGCAGAAGCTCTAGAGGTAATTACTACAATTACACAGCTGAATATATGAATATTTCAGTCGATTGATAAGAGGTGCTATTTTTCTGTAATATACTTACTAAACAAAAACAAAAAGCATTTTATTTTTGAATTTGCCTTTTGTTGATTCTTGACCCCGAGATAAATTAAACATTTAAATAGCTTTATAGTTTAAAGATGACTAAGTTTTGTGTAACTGATGAGGATAACGTATTATTTGGTAATTCATATATATATAAAAAATATATATAAAAGGCACTTATATTTGTTTTTTGTGTACAATGGCATGCATTTATCTCCTGGTCTAAAATCATCCTCTTTTCATGTGAATTTTAGATTTATGCCAGTCGCATGCTTTCTAAAATCCGCCGATCTGAACCAAAGACCCTAATTAGATGACTTCCAAGAGCAACAAAAGCGGAGCAAAAGGTACAACCGGCTAATGCGTCTGCAATTAGCATTAACCCACTGCGTTTTTATCCCACCAAAACGCAATTATGAGTTCAGTTCAGTGGCCAGTGCAGGCGCATTAATTGCCACCAACTCGCCGCAATCATCGTTGCAAAATGTCTCTTTGAGACCAACTAATTAGCGGTTTTGCGTCAGTTGGCGGCACTAGCCTCAATGACAAACGGCGACAGTTGACATGGCGATGGGTTGAGGGGGTGGTGGTGCGGTGGTGCGGTGGGTGGGTGGTGCAACGAGCCATGAACGTTCGAAAAGCCACCACCTCCTGTCCACAGCGAGAGGCGAACGGCTAACAGCCTCGGACATAATGAGATGGAGGGCGTAAGGCACTTTAAAATATTACTATAACTTGAGGCTCAAGTCACCCTAAATGCAAAACGCAAGTCTTGCTTCAATTTAATTTTCAGCATTGTTGGGCTTTTATTTTATTTCACTTTAAAAAGTTTAACTTGCCATTTCATTTAAACAATGAGGTTCAATTTGACCCGGAGAATATGAAAGGTATTGTCTGCCAACTGCTCTTCTGTTATAACTTTGTGTTGCAAGCAAACAAAGTAAGGCAAAAAAGACCTTTAACCTACCAAATGCTTGTATTAGCTTAAAAATTATTCTAGCTTATATTAGCTTTGAATTCTAGTGATATATATTTAAGTCCGAAAGCTTTTCAAAATCCTACCGAAGTGTAATTTAATGGGATTTTTAACTTAATCGGTTCTATGCAGCGTGTTTGCTAAGATCTGGTTAACAAAAGTATAAACCTTTTTATTGATTGCTTACTTAAAAGTTTATTTTTTTATTTTTGTTGTTTATTTTTTCCACTTAGAGAAGGTACCTTTAACCTGTGTAAACTGTTAAAAATAATTATTAGTCCTTCACTTGGGGAGAAACTTTTGAAATTTAAGACACTTAAAAAGTGGAAAAACAGTTGTTGCTTCTTCAGGTTACAATATGTAGAAAAAACTAGGCATTTTAGGTAACTCATTCATTCAAGCCCTGTTTTCTGTTTTTAAGATTAGACAACTGCAGTTTGATGTAGCCGCTGAAGGTGTTGCCTGCTGATGTTGCGAGTTGCTGTCGCTACTGTCTTGTTGTCTGTTGCTGATGCGATGTAAATAAGCAACAAAAACACAATTTTGCAATGCGGCTGAAAAACAATGCAGATTTTGTTGTGGTTTTTTAGCGGCAACATTTGTTGAGATTTCTTTGGCGGATTTGCGTGGCCTGTCTTGGGTAATCGGAGTTTGTCGCTTAAGTCTTTTGTTTGGCCGTCCGCGATGATGAATTCATGGCAAATAAGTCAAGGCGGTGGCATCGCTTGCTTGGCAACCGATTCCGATTAAGTCGCCGAATCCGAATGCGATTCCGATGCCAATCCGTTTTTAGACTGGCACATTGACGTGCTCGGGCAATTGACTCATTAAAATATCAAAAGCCACCGCAGGCATTCTGATTGAAGAGCAAACTATAAATAAAACCACACGTCTCCATGCCCATTATTTTTATTCGCATTCCCTTACTCAAGTGGCGGCCACTTCAGCAGTCAATTGTTTGGCCTGCAAATAGAAGAATACCCCGTCAAAAACCGATTGTATTTTCAGTCAAAAACTCAAAAGAAGTGTAGAAGTATCTGTTCTTTGTCCAAGCTTGTGCAACATTTGCATCTGACTGGCCACATTTTGTGAATGGAAGGCCCAAAGCTCCACCGATTTGAGGGACTGCTCCGATTTGATAGGCTTATCGTTAAGACATGGTACACACGCCATGATTAGAAAAGGCAACGGAAATCAACTGAGCGTTGAGAAGTTGCCAACTGTTATTTATGTTTTCCACTGGAGTTTTTCATTTGCCGTCAGTGCTTCGGAAGACGACAAAGTATCATTGGGTTGTCACTTAACCAGCAGAACTAGAAACGCTCAGTGCTCGTACGTTTGTCACTGCGTCTTGACCATGGCACACATGTGCATGTGGCATGTCATCAGCAACGGTATGGCATATGGTAACACGATCGTCGATCCATCCACCACCATTATTATCGCTGCGATTATCGCAGCTGTTGGCACAGAGATCCGTCAATTGAGGCGCCTCGTCAGCCCGTGAGGTGATGGCGGCCAAGTCAACCGCAAGGTAATCGAGAAATCCCATCGAATTCGATAGGGTCATAATTATATTCTCTGCAACTATAGTTTTATTAATAAAAATATTTATCCTCTTCTCACGAAATGGTATTGTATAACGTTTTTATTTTACATGAAAAAAATATAAGTTTTTGAAGTCGCTAAACATGAACAAATGCTTAAGAAACCGTAAGTTTTAATTATTGTTGAAAAAATTAGATTTAAAATATTCCAATTGGACTATAATGCATTTTATTCAAGTTAAGTATAATTAAATAACATAATCAATAAAAAAAAATGTTTCAATTGAGTACAAAATATTGGATTTGTATAAAATAAAGATTCCAAAAGTGTAAAGATAGATTGCGGATTGTGATTGCAAGATAATATTGAAATTGTGAGATAGCAGCCGCCGACTATATGTTTGAAAGGTATACTTTTAATTTGTAATCTGTGACGTAGAAACATATTTAACGTGTCAGTCAATAATTAAGAACTATCCTTTTGGAAATTAATGTGTTATCAAAATTAAGTGTTATCTAACAAGAAAGTTTATGATCCCTGCTTTTGAGTAATACCCAAGCAGTGGAATTACACAGAAAAGTTTTCCTTAATCAGACATTGCATACCAGAAACTAGGAAAATGGGCCATAAGCTTAAGTGGCACTTTCGTTTAAAGCCCACGCGGAATTGCCGTCAATTGGGCAGCTTGCATAGGTAGGCAATAATTTTGGCTATTGGCGGGTAGGTTGTATCACTGGATGCTTTCGGCGAGCCCGCCAATCTGTGTGGCATAAAAACTGCTGATTGCGAGCCTGAAACCGCAGCTCTTGTCGATAACACGGAACGTATTCCACGACGATGAGCCAACTGCTCCCCCCACATCCACAGCCACTTTGGCGGCGATGATGAGGCTGTCAGCACGGTGCACTTATCTATCGATCAAAACTGCCCATCCGAGCCAGACGCGGCTTTCACGAAAATGCATTTAGGTGCATCATCAGCTGGGGGTGTGCTATCGGTTGGCATTTAGCCACGTTACCATAAATTATGGCCAGGGGATAGCACGCGTTGCGCAAAAATTATGCAATTGCGCAAAACCCTTTTCGGCTAATTAATGCAAAGTCATGAGCGAGGCAAAAACGCTTGCATCAATCTCAGCACCACCACCACCACCACCACGAGGCGATTCTTTGCGTGCGCCAAACCAGTTCCACTTCCACTTGCAGCTCCACTTGCAGTTCCATACGCAGCTCCAGTTGGCCAAAGCGGATGCATTGGAGGCCCTGTAAACGCCAGAGCGTGCAATTGTGCAAGCTGCCGCTTTTTTTGTTCAAAATAAATACCGCTCTACAATCCAAGTTGCTAACAAATATCAAGCTTTCAGAATTAACACATTCAATTCATGTCAAAAATCATAATCATCATTCCCTTACAGAGGGTATTATAATTTCAGTACATCCATTCCTTATCAGCATCACTGGAGAGAGAGTCGATCTAGCCATGTCCGTCCGTTTCTATGCAAATTATTCCCTCAGTTTTAAAGCTATATGCATAAAACTTTCCCAAAATTTGTTTTTCTGTTGCTGGCAGTATATAAGTCAAAACGATCCGCAATATTTAAATTTTGCAATAGGTACAATGGTATATAATCTTTGGCTTGCCTTAGGTTGCTTCCCTTCTTGTTAAAATTTTTTTTTAATTTAAAACTTCGACATTTTTTGTATTTAAAGACAAATGCAAGAGGTAAATGGATGAACAAAAAATTCGGATAATTTGGACATGTATATATCATGTTAAAGTATTATTAAATATATGTTTTTTTATTGTACATTATATTTAACTGAATCCTTATGCTTACTTACAGACCGCAATGCCAATTTGCAAAAGTTCTCCGGGCATGGCAAGCAAAAAGACAGCCACGGACATATCCGCTGATCACGTGACGGAAGGCGCCCAGGTGAAGCGAACCCGCGAGCAGGCCTACTTCAACTCCTACGACTTCGATGCAATCGAGGTGCTGCCCTACGACGAGGAGGACGACGAGGCGGGACGAACGATCCAGAGCGGGAGCCAAAGCAGGAGCAGGAGCGAAAGCAGAACCGGAAGCAGCAGCAGCCGGAGCAGCAGCACACGGAGCTACTCCGCAGCCAATGATCCCGGTGCGTCAAGCAAGTTCGCCTACCTGCAACGCCTGGGAGCCTTCTTTGGACGGAGCGGAGGGGGCGCAGGCGGATCCGGAGCACCGGAAGCGGCAAGTGGAGCTGACCCAAGTGTAGGAGGGGCACCCATCTTGGCACCTAAGGGCAGTAGCGAGAACTTCTTGCTGCCACGTGCTATGCTCAAGTATCAAAGGTAAGGGGCAAAAATACTAAAGGTGAATACATCTTAACTATAATGACACAGAATTATAATTGTGATATACTGTGATATTAAAACGTAGGAAAAAAATAGAATAACTCTATAATACTATAAGTCCTATAAAAATCATTAACACTGCACACCAGTGTTTTTGTGCAGAGGTATAGGTATTAAATAATGTTAAAAGAGCTCCATTAAGGCATATATATTTGCTTTTTTTTTTATTGTGTAGTATACAGATAATACTAACTGTTTCGGCGGACAAGCTAGGACCTTTTACAAGGTTTATTTTGTTTTCCTGTATAATTGCTTCTGTTAATTTTTGATTTACATTACATTGATTTGAATATAATAGAAAACAAGAACTATACCAGTTTACCAGCTTATCAATTTCGGGGGTGTGGTAGTGCCATCTGGGTCAATTCTACAAACGAAAAGCTGCTGATCGTCATTTTAAACTTCTTAAATAATGTTTGAAAAATTTTTGTTGGCGTGGCCAAGTTTTTAAATAATTTAATTGTGATTATTCCGAAATCTCGACGTTCATACGGACAGACAGACGGAAATAGCTAGATCGATATACTTTATATGTTTGGAAACGCTTACTTCTATTTGTTACACACTTTTGATCGAACTACTCTACGAGTACTGGGTATTTAAACTAATAAGTTGCCTTTCCGGCACCTTTTCCAAAATAACTATGTTTTTATACCCTTGCAGAGGGTATTATAATTTCAGTCAGAAGTTTGCAACGCAGTGAAGGAGACATCTCCGACCCTATAAAGTATATATATTCTTGATCAGCATCACTAGGCGAGTCGATCTAGCCATGTCCGTCTGTCCGTCTGTCCGTCCGTTTATATGCAAACTAGTCTCTCAGTTTTAAAGCTATCTGCATGAAACTTTCCCAAAAGCTGTCTTTCTATTGCAGGTAGTATATAAGTCGGAACGAGCCGGTTCGGACGACTATAGCATATAGCTCCCATAGGAACAATCGGAAAAATAAATGAAAAAAAATTATAACTTTTCTGTTTTTTAATTTTTTGTTTAGTTCTTCGACATATAGCAATGTTTAATTATTTCAGAATTATGGTTTAAATTTTATCAAAATCGGACGTCTATATCATATAGCTCCCATAGAAATAATAAAAATATATAAAATAACTATCTTATAATTGAGCTGCAAATCATCATAGTTTCAATGTTTTTCAGCATATACTCAAGTAAATCATAATTTAAATATTTTCAAAAGTATTTAATTCATGCAATAGCTGCAAGGGTATATGAACTTCGGCTTGCCGAAGTTTGCTTTCTTTCTTGTTTTTACGTACTATATACTATACGCCCCAATTTGTTCCCGTGTAAATTTTGATTATAGTTCATTAATTATCTATGTTATCTAATCATCGACATCCGAACCGAAAACGTTCAAAACTCTTTTTTTATCGAAACAAAAAGAAGAATTTTCCAACTATTTTTAATTATTTAAAAAAAATTGTAAAATGAGTATTCTATCAATAGAGTTCATTTTGTATTTGATTTTCTTTAAATTATTTCTAAGCATCTTTAATTATACCCTTGCAGAGGGTAATATAATAATCAATAGCCATGTCCGTCTGTCTGTCTGCTGCAATACCGTTGGCGAGTCCAGTTTAGAAGCTAGCTATCTGAAACTTTTACTGTCGTCCTAAAACATGTTTGAAAAGCGCCCCGATCGGACGTCTGTATCCTATAGCCCCCTTAGAAACAATCGGATATTACTTGCAAGAGTTGAAGATAATTCGCGCAGTGTAAAAGCTTTTGACATGCCTTTACAAATCGTATTTTTGTATGCATGCCTTGATCAGGTTTTTAAGGATATTTCGCGCAGTATATAAACTACTGACATCAATTTTTCCAAGTCTTTTTTATTTACGCATACCTTGATCAGGGTAAAAGCGGTCGGACGTCTATATCTTATGGCTTCCATAGGAAGCTACTTTTGCAACTTCAACAATTTCGGCCAAATCTGCCGAAGTTAGCTTCCGTCCTCGTTTTTTAATAGAAAAAAACATTTTTAAAGAATATCAACCTTATAGTGACTTTATTTAGGAATTGCCTAATATTACGATTTTAACAACAGCACTACAGGTCCCTTTCGCCCCACCTTGCCAATAAAGAATACAACTCTTTTATCTTTTTAACTTTTTTATTAATATTCTTCGGTATATAGAAATGGGTTAATATTTTAAAATTACGTTTTTAATTTTATTAAATTCGGACCACTACATCAAATTGCTATTAGGAAAACAAAAAAATCGAAAAATAGTTGTTTAATAATTGTTGCCGCAAGCATTGCCGAAGTTTGTTTCTCGTTATTGTATAATTAATGGATAAAAATGATAAAGTCTGAAAAAAATTAAATATTAAATGTGCAATTTACAATGTATTTCTAAGAAAACACACCGAAAATCATTGACACCGATAGATTTAATAAGCGGTTTTCAAGTCAAGACACAAGGTATTGGGCCCGAAAAAGGTGCACCAAATACCTTAACACTTAGGATCGGATACCCATCGTGTAGCGACCTTCGGCACTTTGGCAGCGACCTTGAGTCTGATGGTGTGGAGTCGGATGGGGAGGGAAACCCAAGAAAAAGCACGACCGGAGCAGATCGGAAACCGAAGTTGTTGTTAATGCAATTAGGGACGCAACACTGTAGCACGGTTGCAGCCACTTGAGCAGCAGCCAGCGGTATAGTGTTATTACGTTGTTGCGAGCCAATTAGTGCGGCATTAAGCCGGATAGCAATCAGCGACGACGGAGTGTTGCCCTAAATGAGGATTATGATTGCCAAAGATGGTTCTGAGCTCGGCCGGAGCCAATGGGGCAACCTGTTGCTGCAACAGCAACTATGTAAATCATGTCTGCACTGGCGGCGAAGTTCAAGTTGCTGCTGCAGTTGCTGCAATGTGGTTTTTGGCGCCTGTTGTCAGCCTTCACCTCTTTTTCTCCTCATATGTATATACATATATGTGTAAGTGCTTATATCTTGTTGTTTTTAGAGAAGCTTGGCAAACACTCGACGGTGATCATCGCTGCGGCAGCAGCATCGGCAGCGGCATCGGCAGCAGCAACTGCAGACAGCTGCAACAATTACGTTTATTAATTGAAATTAAAGAAGCCACCAGAAGCACATGATCTTCGAATCGCCGAAGGTCAAAAGCGGAGAGCCCGTTTTGGTTTGAAATATTTATCAAAAATAAAAAATTAACTACTTGTATGCACACACACATACACACACACACACACATCGGGGGTATGCATATGCATTAAGTCGTGCTGTGTATTGAAAGCTATTTTCGATTAATTGGCGAATAGTTGCGACTTGCAACTTGTTTTAGCTATTTTGGTCATTGCCTGGGACAGAGTGTGGAATTCAGGCACCAGCCGATAGCCATGATAGGATAATCTGGCAGATTTGCAGTCAAAATACCAACCCATTCGCAGCGGAAGAAAGAGCTGAGTTCCCCCCGTCAAGGTCAAAGCTGAATTCCCCCGCCCTTTAGCGAACCGAAATCGATTGGCCATTCAGCCCACGTTGGGACTATACTTATTTTGCGTTAACCGCTCACGCATGCTAACTAAAACGCGAGGGGAGTGGACTTCGCACAGTGGCTCTTCCAACGCGACCTCGACCAAATGCTACTCCTTTGTCCCATTAGTCCCCATCAATGCAGTTAGACGGCGATCAATTGTCGATACTCGTCGCTAATTTGTATTCAATTTTTGAGACCGCCTAGGCCATAGTTATAGTGTGGCTTATGCCAAGGTCGGCTTTTAGCCAATTCAACCGACCAGAGCCAACACATCCATCTTGAGCGTTAAGCATGTGCGAATTCAGCGATATAATCGCTGCAATAAAAACGCGCTGGCCCATTGATTGATTTGCAATTGATAGACGGGGCCAGATCGCGACTCAGGTGCCGAATTTCCAGTCGCCTGTAATTTGTCTTGGCAAGCAGTCAACAACAATTAGCGGCCACACGAGAGTGTTTACTAACGGTCTATAACAACCGACCATGTGTCCGCTTGTCCGTTTGTCCGCCGAATCTGCTTGTCCGCCGAATCCGCTTGTCCGCCGGTCCACCAGTGTTCCGTGCATGCAAACGAGGCTGAACATTTTAATTAACACAGTTCGAACAAACAAAATAAACATATACACCAAGATTGCAAAATGTTTCATGAGCCAAAAGGTAACCTTGCCGCTTCTGTTGGTGCGATATCTATGGCTGTTGCCACTACGCATCGGCAGCCATGCCACCAAAACAAAAAAAAAAACTCAGTAACACTCGCCAGTCAACGTCGCCACTGACCGCAACTTATCAATTTTTGGGTGCGTAACGCACCGACTTACCATACAAGAACAGCCCCAACAGCAGCAATAACTGGTAGCAACAGCCGTTGTTACGCAACTTTCAGCACTCATTCCGATTGGCCAAAAGCCAGTGTTGACCCAGTGCCACTCGCCCGTTGCATACAGAACCGAATCTCGGACTCGGAACAGCCCGTAAGTGAGTTATTAAAGCACTGCAACTGGCGCCAGCGGTCAGAAATGCAAATCTGCCCCGGGAGATTTGAATTTTGAATAATAATACTGATGTGAAGGAGCAATCAATTAGTTAGGCATTAACGAAAAAAAACTGATCAAAGACCAGTTGAGGTCGTTCGTAGAACGAAATTGATAGTCATTGGATGATCTTTGTAAAAATTCAAATTTAGGTACAAGTGTTTAAGGCTTGAAACATTTGAGAAAGCAGCAAGTGTTTAATTTGGTTTAGAAGTACAAAAAGCCAATCCAGAATTTAAAATCAGCCGGAAATGACATTGAAGCAATAAAAAATGATTAAAACTCATTAAGTATTAAGACTATGTCTTATTAAACTAAGGATTTACTAAAACTAGATCAGTTGATTGCGCATGCGACTGAAAGTGAAACAAGAAACAAACTTAGTTAGTTGTTTAACAAACTGAAATTATATTATTTGTATTTAAGTTAAAAAAAATTTAAAAATTGTTGCTTAACCTTTTTTTTACCTTACCTAAATTTTTGACAAATTTTATACCTTTTACCCAGTCTAAGTACTAATTTTCTGAAATACCTTGTACCTTACCTAGATCCAAAAAACTAGTACCTTTCCCAAAAAAAAAAATGGTTTTATGTTTACATTACCTCGAATGGTATAATCGAATAAACCTAATGGTTTTATACTCTCAGATCAGAAGTAAAAGCTTGTTATAAAGACTTTGGATTAGAGGACTTTGAGTTGGAGAAACTCAACATTATTAGGCTCCGCCACCAATAATCTCAAAGATAACCACCAAAACGAGGAAAAGTGACCCCATAAATTTCCTCAAAAATAGTCGGTAGCCATCTGTAAAGAGTTCGGCGAAGTTTAGTGCCCTCCACAGTGGGAAGCTTCCGTTCCATTCAATTAAGTTTCCATTTCATTTCGCTGCACTTAGCAGTCCACCTCTTGCCACCCGAACAGCTGGCTCCTTGGCTCCCCAAGTCACCAGGCACCGCCGAATTTCATGGTTCACCAAAAAGTTGGCCCACACTTAGCCACACATGCTGGCAGAGAAAAAGCAAGAGTAAAGCCAAAAGCGACTCAAAGCAGCAGAGTTCACTTGCATGCCTAACTTTACTGTTAGGCAGGGAAATAAAGCCGAAATAAAGCCGAAATTCAGACCGAAATCAAACAAACCGAAGGCTAAGCGAATTGCAACAGTAACTGAAGCCGAAATCCTGTTTAGAACGAGTTTATTTGAATTTAAATCGAATTGGTCTGTTGATGCTGAGTTTCTAAGCACGCGGTCGTATGTTTCGTTGTATATGTAGTATAGAAAGAACCAAATGTGATTGCACAACAAACCAGACATCTTCTGGACATCCGGGAGATATTCTATGGGGACTCTCAGTCCAATATAATTACAAATTAAGCACGTCAGCTGGCCGAGAAAAAAGGAAAACGTAAACAAAGTCACTAACCCAGTTCACCAGTTTTCGCTTTCGACTGTGAGGCTTTAAGCCGTTTACACTTTGGGCAGAAAGTAAGTTAAAAATGTGTTTATTTCAGTTGGTAAAATGTGCCTGCGTTAGCATCCGAAACTCACCGAAACACTTACTTGAAAAGGTGATTGAAATAGGTTGCTTCAGTCTAAATAAAAAATAAATTTAAATTTTTTTAAGGTAGCAGCTAAAACTATATTAAAAAAGCGAAATTTGACTACAGTGCTCTGTCCGTTTCCCAGCTGGCGAAGCGACGCGACGCGACGCATAAACAAAACGGCAGTTGCGAAAAACCAACAGAAACCGCTTTCCAACGCCAGGTTTCCCTTTCGTCAGAGTGTTGTTCGCAGATTTTCACAGCTCTTTCTTTCTTTTCTCCGCTCTCATTGCAGCACAGCGACCACTTCGGCACCGCCATCGTCCACGTCCACGGCAGCCACGCCAATGCCATCGAAGCATGCACCGGGCATGGGGAGTCCACTTGGTCACGACCAGCAGCTGGAGGTGCCTGCCGGCGCAGAGGAGCGCAGCAAGAAGTGCTCGGTGGCCTCCAATGTCAGCAGCTCGCATTCCGCGGATTCCGGGCTGCCAGTGGCAGCGGCCACCTCTGCGACGGCAGCAACATCTGCTGCAGCAGCAGCAGCTACACAGGCCACACATGGCTCACACTACTCGACGGACAAAAGCGGCTCGTCCGGTTACTACAGCTCCAACGTGTGCTCCACTTACTCGCTGGACGAGCACATCTACTGCGAACCGGTCATCGATGTGCAGGAGAAGCTCAAGAGCGTGGCCGCCAGGCAGCGGCAGAGGCCGCCGCTCCGACTGCCAACGAAAGTGGCGGCTCCGCAGGAGGTGGCCTCGGAGGTGGGCCCACCAGCAGCCGCAGCCGCCGCCGAGAAGCTGGCTGCAGTGAAGAGTCAGCGCTCGGACATGCAAGATGCGGCTGGAGCTGCATCCAATGACCACCAAGTTCAGGCGAAGAGCGAGGCGGCGGCGGCGGCAGCGGCCGGGCTGCACCACTACAGCGACAAGCTGCGCGTCCTGGAGACGAGCATCGAGAATCTGGACCGCCACCTGAAGACCTTTCCCAGCCTGTACGCCCAGGAGCACATTGTGAGCTTCATGCAGGCAGCCGGAGGGAGTGCTGAGGACACATCCCACTCCCTGGACATTGGGGAGAAGCTGCGGGCCTACAACCAGCTGCCCACCATCATGGAGCAGCAGCAGCAACAGCAGCAGCAGCAGGAGCCGCTGGTGGATGACTCCCTGCTGGACATCGACCTAGATGCCTTTCTCCTGGCCTCCCACGTGGAGCACCGGGGCATCGACAATCCCAGCTTTCTGAACGACGAACAGCTGGCCGAGAACAACTACAAATGCGCCAAGTACATCAACTCCTGCCCCGAGGATGCCTATCGCTTGGAGAGCGAGAGGGGCGGAGCTGGAGGACTGGGTGTGGGCGTAGGTGTGGGCGTGGCAGAGAAGACTTACGCCAAGCGGTACGAGGATCAGCTGCATTTCCAAAACACTCGTGAGCTGCTGGAGGATGTCCGTGATAAGATACGCCTCCTGTCGCGTGCCACGCCCCCGCCCTCGGACACGGCCACGCCCACGCCCGCCAGGACACCGCCCCCGGACGTGCCCAAGGAGCTGGAGGGCATGATCCACACTCTGAAGCACGAGCTGGAGTCCTACCTGCAGCGCATGAACCAGCACAGTGAGCAGGAGCTGCGGCAGCTGTGCAGCGGACTGGGTCGCCAGCAGCACGTGGTCCGCCTGCAGAACGCCCTGGAGCGCAGACGCAGCTGCGCCGACCTCCAACTCAATGCCTACGAAGCGGTGCGCGACGGAGTGCTGATCTCCGCCAGCGGCAGACCGCTCAGCGTCCGTGAGCAGATCATGACCATCCGCTGCGCCAGCGACCCCAACTTCAAGATGAAGCGCAAGTCAATTGCGGAGATCTTCCCCGCCGCCGAGTTCTACGTGGAGTCGGAGGTGACCACCACCAGTCTGTCCTGCAGTGCCACGCCCTCGCCCTCACCCTCGCCCGCCTCCACGCCGCAGCTGGAGCTGGAGGCCCTGCATCCCGGCCTGACCACCACCACGGTCGTCACGCAACTGCAGCGGAACCTCACCTTCCACAAGCCCATCCTAGCGGTGGCCAATTGCAGCCAGGGATGTGGAGCTATGACCGCCGGCGTGGCTGCTGGCGATAAGGCTCGGGATCGGGAACGGGAGCGGGAACGGGAACGGGAACGCGAGCGGGAAAAGGAAAGCATAGCCGAGTGGCACCGCAAGAAGCCCAGCATCTGGGAGATGTACTACGGCACCAACCGGCTCCATCAGTCGCTCCTCGGAAAGCAGCGAAGTGGAGGCGAACTGGTCGTCAGCAGTGCCCAGCCCACTCTGTCCTATGTGAGTATCGGGGATGAATGGGGTAAAAGGGGTAGTCAGCAGGGGAACATGCTGGCACTTTACACATGTTCCATTTCATGTTTCACCTTTTCTGAACTAGTTAGTTTTAATATACATAGTTTGAAAATAGTTGCGTACTGAAATAATTTAACCAGGTATTGGTTCCAACTCTGGCTTACTTACTGGTTTTTGATTTCGCCTTAGAAACTTTAAAATTTACTTAATTTACTGTTTAAACGTCGAAATATCAGAAACTATAAAGGCTAGAGATTTGAGATTTTTGTAATTTTTAAGCAGCGCAAGCTTCTTTTAAAACTGTGCCACGCCTACTCTAACGCCCACTCTGTCAAGTCACTCTGCGTGAGTTTCGGTCATATCTATTGTTAGACATTAAAATTTTCAAAATCGAGTAAAATAGTAACTCGATTTTGAAAATTGTAATGTTAAAATGTTTAATGTTTAAAGTTATAGAGTTGTTAAGTCCCCTGACGCCACTCTGCCGCTGCTCTGCCGGTGATCGCTGATGTAGAGAGACAGAACGAAAGAACTGTTAGCAGGGGTTTGGGACGCTGCACGCTCTTCGCTTCCCTTTTTGACTTTGCAGTTGACAGATGTCACCACCTAAGCTCCGATTAATTTTTATGGGAATATTTAGTTTGAAATTTAATAGCTGATTTATCTAATATTTGGGGAACTCGACTTTAGCGTTCTTGTTTTTATACCCGTTACTTGTTGAGTGAAAGGGTATATTGTAATCGTTGAAATGTATGTAATAGGTAGAAGAAAGCGTTTCCGACCCTATAAAGTATATATATTCTTGATCAGGTTCAATAGCCGAGTCGGTCTAGCCATGTCCTTCGGTCTGACCATCTGTCTGTCCGTCCGTCTGTCCGTCCGTTAGTATAGGGTCGAGATCTCGTAAACTATAAAAGCAAGGGATTTCAAAACGGAGCCACGCCCACTGTAACTCCCACAAATCGCGAATCACTAAACACGTCTGTGACGCCACTCTGAGACATGTAAGACCTTTGCTGTTTTACTCTGTACATGTTTTGGTTAAACATAACATTTTTTAAAATCAATCGACCTGTGCCGCCCCTCTGCCGTGTCTATCTATAAAGCTCTAAGAAATAAAAATCTTATTAAAGTTCGCCCCAAAATAGTACTTAATATAATTGAAAAGTTTATTGGGTAAAAAACAGCTCAATTATTATTCCAACTTAACTCTGGAACTGTTACTAATTCAATAAATTCCAATAAAAAAAAGCTTACAGTTGCCATTGAATTTTTAATATCCAATTCAATAAAGATGTATCTCCATAGCCAATTCGGTGAGCATTCACTTTAGGGAAGCTGGGATTCATGCAATCGCACAATAATTCCACGATTCAATTCCCTCCATAACGAGTGAATTAATTAACAATAATTTATTTTGGCTTGTATTCAAAATAAGATTCTATGCCAACAAATTCCACTTCCGTTCACTGAATTAATTAAGCAGAAACCGAAACTTTAACATACAAAAATCAAATACACCGACTGACGATGTTGGAAGTCGTGTCGATTGCACCTTACCTTCTTAAAGTTCTGTAACGAAAATATGTTATATATTTTATGTCAAAAATACAACATTTTTGGCAGTTTACTCATTGAGGGCGCAGCAGTAAAATATTTTGCTTTTTCCCCAATCACAGAATGTAATATACAACAATCTTTCGTTAAAGCTGATCGTTATTTTTATTTATATCATCCTTTTATATACACATTTTATATAAAAATAGAAAATATTTTAAAATTTAAGAATAATGAAGACTTGAGTGCATTTTTCATATCATCATAAGAAGTGAAAGAGTTTTTATATACAAATTTTAAATAAAAATATAAAATATTTTAAAATTTAATAATAACGAAGGCTTGAGTGCGTTTTTATATATGGTCTCATCATCATAAGAAGTCAAAGAGTTCTGTTCAGACCTATTTTAATTTTGGGGCTTTATATATTCTGTCACTCGATTCGTAACTACTTGTTGTTATTCGTTTAGTATTGAGTTAATAAGCAGTCCTTTGCCTTAAGTCATCTAGGGTGATTAATCCTTTCGGTTTGGAAATAACCTTAAGCTAGTTATATACTTCGGATTTCCTTGGCTTGAATATGAAGCTCGGGTCAAGTGTGTTTCGAAATGATAGCCATATTTAGATCAGCCGGCGCTTGCAGAGATAATTATGAACTGGCCGGGCCAACGAGGCGTATGATTAATGCTCCGGCTAATTGCAGCCAAGCTTTGTTGCAGCCCGAGGTCGACCAGCCCCATGGAGATTGAACAAAATAAACAATCGACTAAGCAAACTATCGCAAGCTCGCACAGCGATTTGCAAGACTTCAGGTGCGAGTTGCCTCCAGCTCATTAGGCTGCCCAATTCCTCGTCCAATTCGCATTCTAAGCTGCTTCGTGCAGCTACCTTTGATCAGCCTCATCCTTGGCCGCAATGCTATCCATTTTGGTAGCATCGTGAGCCGCGTAATGCCAACTCCCGCGCACTGCTGGCCAGAACTCGAGCCCCGTCATTACCCACGTCAGAGTTTATTATGCGCCAGGCGGTGCCATCGATATACAGTAGATGGCATCGATGCAGTCACAGATTAAGTCAGAGTCAGGGCCCCTGCGATGCGGCAGTTTGATTAATGAGTTTGCCCGGCTACTGTTCCCCTTTCAGCCAAAGATCTCGATAATTACGTCTAATGCTGGTCCCACTCCACTGCAAACAGCTGCCAGATCATTTACCTTGCCATCGGACTCAATGGCTCTTCAGTTAATGCCAGATTAAGTCATAACGCCGATAAGTGACTGCAAATCGAGCAATTTCATTGGCGTCTCACTATATTGGTGTGGCATTTGTTCGTTTTCTACTCATATTAACCACTTAATTAATTGCAAACAGAGACCGAAAAGGTTCTTTATATATTTTCATAATTTGATAAATTTTGATTAAGTATGCACGAATTGTATAATAAATGTAAGAAATTAACATTTAATTAGAAACTTATTTTATTATTTAGACAAGTAAGAGATGAAGCAAACTTCGATTAGCCGATTTTTATGAACCCTTGCAGCTATTATTCAGCCATCAATCGAATCTCCCAGTAATGCTGATCAAGAATATATATTCTTTATGGTGTCGAAACTGTTTCCCTTACTTGTGACTAAAATTAAAATACCCTCCGCAAGGGTATACAAATATTTTATATAAATTGTTGAAGGGTATTTCACTGTCTGATAGCCGCCTAAGAATGCTGTTCGTTGCGGACGGAGACTCTTAAAATTCCGTTACCAATTTTGGCTTCCGTTCTACGCCTTCCGTTTTCGGGCAGCGGCTTATGCAATATCCGCAGCCGCGATTCAAGCGATTCTGGCCGGCGTTCAATCGCCGAGCTCACGCCCGGCATCCCAATGAGTTTTCACTTTCGGCCAGGTAGTCGTCGCGGTTTGTTCACCTTTGTGGATCAGATAGCGCTCTATCGCGGGCGATTTGAACTTGAGTGTTGCTGTGGGGCAAACGTGCGAAAATACGGTTAAGCGACACTGTACCAGTTAACCTTTAAATTCCGTTAAGAGCGGCGCGGCAGTGGCAGCCGCATCTTGGCCAACTGGCCATCGATTGCGGCCGCGATAACCGGCCAGAAGCAACTGGCATGCAACAAGTGGCAAGAAGTTGCCCTACAGCTCGGATGACCTTTAAGGACGTTGGCGAAATTCCGCGAAGACAGAAGCCGCCCCATCCTGAAGCTGGGACCTCATCCGAGCCCGCTCGAAACCCGTCCCACGGCAATTGGCCGGCAGCAAACGAAACCGAAATCTAAACGGGTTTGCTGTCATGACTGCCAAAACGAAATCGAAACCGAAACCGAGAGAGAAAAAGAAACAACACTGAAAATGAAAATGAAAACGAAACTGACAACGCAGCGAGATGTAAGGCGATCTGGTCCAAAAGCGGCCAAAAGTGGCCAAAAGCTGCACGCATTTTAGCTGCCACAAAGTGTTGCAATCGCAATCGCAACCACACTTACCACCGGTGGACAGTGGACAGTGGGCAGTTGCCACCGCACCACCACCACCACCTCCACCACCACTCAATAGTTAACTGGGTTATGGCGGATTCCATTTGGGGGGCAGGCCTCAAGAGCAGTTGCTGGTCATGGAGTTGTCAACCTTCTTCGGTTGCAATTTAGCATGGGGAAGCTGCCGATTGGGCCTTTTGGTTGAGGCTCTCACACAGAAAAAAAATAGAGGATAATGGCTAGGCTCATCTTATTTACGTTGAAATAATCAATACGTTTCAATATTGACAAACGTTTGTGTTAATAACGACTTTATTTGAATAGGAACGAAGTGGCAATTTTTAAGCATTTTTGTATATGACAAACAAGTGATTAATTTAACATTTCAAATTTATATATAATATCAAAAAGAAAAAGAAAAAGAATTTTAAAATAAATTTATTTTTTATAAAAAAAATTGCGCTACTTTAATAACAACCATTACTTTTCTTAAAAACTTAAATTAAATCTTAAAAAAAAAAAACACATACTAAAAGTTTAAAAAAACAATTGGTCTCATTTTCCCCTCTGCATTGACCGCCTTGGGGGCTTATGTTAATGGCAACGGAGGCCCAGGGATATTGGTTCCACGGAAGCTGGGGTACAACCCGCCATTATGGTATCAAATTTCCAACTTTAGCCCAAACGGCATGTGTGCCGAGGGAAAGGCAGCAACTAATTAGACTGCCACTGCCACCTGAATTTCGCCATTCTGCCACGCCTCCCCAGAGGCACGGCCGCCCACTCTGGCGGTGGTGACTCAACCCGACCAGCCTCCAATTGCAATTTCCCCACTGCAAGGCGGCGCAAACAGCGGAGCAAGCGAAAGAAGAAAATCCATTTGCAATTGCATAAATGTTTGCACACTTTTTAAATTGAATTAAATCCGCTACTCGCGCTCGCG